TGGTTTATCTTTGAGAATGTTCCATGTGCACTTGAGAAGAATGTGTATTCTACTATTTTGGATGGAATGTTCTATATATATCTATTAAGTCCATCTGGTCTAGTGTTTCATTTAAGGCCACTGTTTCCTTCTTGACTTTCTGTCTGGATGATCTATCCACTGATGTAAGTGCGGTGTTGAGGTCCCCTACTATTATTGTGTTACTGTCAATTTCTCCCTTTATGTCTGTAATAGTTGCTTTATATACTCTGGTGCTCCTGTGTTAGATGTGTATATATTCATAAGTGTTATGTCTTCTTGGTGGAATGTCCCTTTTATTACTATATACTACCCTCTTTGTCTCTCTTTGTCTTTTTTATCCTGAAGTCTGCTTTGTCTAGGTATGGCAACACCTGCTTTCTTTTGCTTATCATTTGCTTGAATGTCATCTTCCATCCTTTCACCTTGAACTTATGTTTGTCTTTAGAGCTGAGATGTATTTCCTGGAGGCAGCATATTTTTGGGTCTTGTTTTTTAATCTATCCATCCACTCTGTGTCTTTTGATTGGAGAATTCAATCCATTTACATTTAGAGTCATTATTGATATATGAGGGCTTAATACTGCCATTTTATCTCTTGTTTTCTGGTTGTTCTATATTTCTATTGTTTCTCTTCCCTTGTATTTCTGACTGCCATTTCAGTTTGGTGGTTTTCTTTGATGGTTTTCTCAGTTCTCTCTTTATTTATGATTTGTGGCTCTGCTCTGGTTTTTTTGTTTAGTGGTTGCCATGAGGTTTGTATAAAAGATCTCATAGATGAGATAGTCCATTTTCTGATAGCCTCATCTCCATTAGCCTAAGCAGGTTCTATCCTTTTCTTTTTCTTCTGAGTTATTGTTGTCACAAATTGTTTTTTTTGTGTGTTGTGAGTTTGTGACTGAATTGAAGTGTTTATAGTTATTTTTGATGCTTTCCTTCCCTTTATCTTTTGTGTACTAATTAAGTGTTTACTAACCTATTCTGATATAGAGCTGCAATTTTCTGATTCTGTCTATTTATCTCCTTGCTCAAAGTTTTGTAAACCTTTGCTTTTTAGTTTCAGATGGGAGGACTCCTTTCAACGTTTCTTGTAAGGCAGGCCTAGTGGTGATGAACTCCCTCAGCTTTTGTTTATCTGGGAAAGCTTTTATTTCTCCATCATATCTGAAGGATAGTTTCACTGGATAGAGTATTCTTGGCTGAAAGTTTTTGTCTTTCAATATTTTAAAAATATCATTCCATTCTCTCCTAGCCTGTAAGGTTTTTGCTGAGAAATCTGCTGAAAGCCTGATAGGGGTTCCTTTGTAGGTTATCTTCTTCTGCCTTGCTGCCCTGAATATTTCTTTTTGTCATTGACTTTTTCCAGTTTTAGTATTATATGCCTTGGAGAAGGTCTTTTTGCATTGGTGTAATTAGGTGTTCTGTTGGCTTGATGTACCTGTAAGTCCAGTGCCTTCCTCAGGTTTGGGAAGTTCTCAGCTATTATTTCTTTGAAAAAGCTCTCTGCTCCTTTCTCCCTCCCCTTTCCCTCTAGAATGCGTATAATCCTTACGTTGCTTTTCCTAATTGAGTCGGATATTTCTCAAAGAATTTCTTAATTTTTTAAAACTCTTAGTTGTCTCTCCTCCTCCACCTGAAGCATTTCTATATTTCTATCCTCTAAATCACTAATTCTGTCCTCCACAGTGTCGGCTCTGTTTTTTATGGTTTCTAGATTATTTTTTATTTTATTAACTGTGTTCTTCATCTCCAGAACTTCTGTTTGATTTTTTTTTTTTTTTAGAGCTTCAATCTCTTTGGTGAAGTATTCCTTCTGCTCATTAATTTTATTCCTGAGCTCATTGAACTGTCTTTTTGAGTTTTTTTGTAACTTGTTGAGTTTCTTTATGACAACTATTTTGAATTATCTGTCATTTAGATTGTAAATTTCTGTGACTTCACTATTGGTCTGGAGACTTGTCATTTTTCTTCTGATCTGAAGCGTTACTGTAGTTCTTCATGGTGTTTGATGAATTGATCCTTTGCCAGCGCATTTGTGGTAGTAACAGGTTGCAGATTTCTCCTGTCACTGCTGTTGGGGGCAGGAGCTGTGTTTCCTGATCCCACTCTGTCTGCTGGAAGTTGTGCTGGTAGGGCTGCTCTGTGTTTGTGCAGCCTAGCCACAGCTGCTTGGCTCGTCATGCATGCATGTGGCACCTGTGTGCTCTGCCAGTGGATCACTCTCATGTGGGCGGGACCACTACACTCGTCAGGGGACCAGCTGAGGTGCTGTGCTATGCAGGTCGGGAGGGGCGCTTTCTTTCATGTGCGGGCCAGCTCTGCACTCGCAGGCAGTTCAGCCGAGCTGCTGTGCTTAGTGGGCAGGGCGTCCTCGTGCGGGCTGAGCTGCCACCACTCAGCAGGGAGGATTCCCATAGATGGGGCTGGCGAGGTCTGATGGGCGCTCCCGCAGGCAAGGCCACCACTATGAAAGCATTCGTGTGCCAACTGGTCTGCCCCTGCCTCCTCTTACAGTCCTGCCGGGCACTGTGTGAGGACTGGTGACCTGGATCACTGCTGCTGGGGAGGGGGTGGGGTGCGCTCACCCAGTTCCACTGCTTCCCAGCAATCTAGTCCACCCACTTTCAGATGTATGGTTGCATTTATCTCTCAGGCGTCCTGTTGTGCTTTGTGGGGAATCCTCTTTGGTTAGTGACTGTCCATTTAGTTGTAACTTAGAGGAGAGACACAAAGGGAACAACTCACTCTGCTATGATGCTGACATCACTCCCTAAATCTTCTTTAAATGTTTGATAGAATTCCCCAGTGAAGCTGTTTGGGCCTGGAGCTTTCTTTGTGGGAATGTCTTTAACTACAAATTCAATTAAAAAAAATAGATATAGGGCTCTTTAGGTTATCTATCTCTTCTTGAGTGAACTTTGGTAGTTTGTGTTTTTCAAGGAATTTATCCATTTCATCTAAATGTCAAATTTAAGATTTTCTCCATCATTGGTTTTAAGAAATTTGATAATGATATACCTTGGAGTTGTTTCCTTTGTGTTTCTTGTGTGTGTGGTTTGTTAAATTTCCTGGATTTGTGAGTTTACAGTTTTCATCAAATTTGGAAAATTTTGGTCATTATTTTTCAAGTGTTTTTTCTGTCTACCAGCTCTACCCCCGTTTTTTGGGACTCCAGTTACATGTGTATTATGCCACTTGAAGTTATTCCACACCTTAGGGATGCTCTGTGCATTTTTTCCCACTCTGTTTTCTCTTTGCATTTCATTTTGGATGGTTTCTATTGGTATGTCAAGTTCACAAGTCTTTATTTCTACAATGTCTAATCTGCTATTAGTCTCATCCATTGGGGTTTTTTTTTTTTTTTTTTTAATCTAAGACAGTTTTCTTGTCTAGAAATTCAATGTAGGTCTATTTAAAAAATATATTCATGTCTCTACATAACATGCTTGAATTTTCCTTTAACTTCTTAAACAAATGGAATATAGTTATAATAATTACTTTAATATGCTTGTCTACTTGTGCTGTCATTTGTGTTACTTAGGAGTTAGTTTCTGTTGATTGATATTTCTCCTAATTATTGGTCACATATCCTGCTTCTTGCATGCCTGGTAATTTTTAATTGTACATTGTTAAGTGCTAGATATTTTTGTATTCTTATAACTGTTCTTGAGCTTTTTTCTGGAATGCTGTTAAGTTACTTAGAAACAGTTTGATCTTTTTGAATGTTGCTTTTAATCTTTGTTAGATAGGGCCAGAGCAACTTTTAGTCTAGGACTAATTTTTATAATATTGAGGCAAAACCCTATAGTCATGTGCCATATAATGATGTTTTAGTGAATAGCAGACTGCATATACAATGGTGGTCCCATAAGGTTAGGACTATGCAGTCTAGGTGTGTAGTGGGCTATGCCATCTAGGTTTGTGTAAGTAGACTCTATGATGTTCGCACAATGAGGAAATCACCTAACAACGTATTTCTCAGAACATATCCCCTTTGTTAAGCGATGTATGACTGTACTGTACCCAATGCCCCATGAATTGATAGGTTTTCCACTTTGAAGGGTGGGAACAGGTGCTATACTCTGCCCTCTGTGAGCCCTGCATATCGTTCCTCAGATTCTTTCAGGTGATTCTTTCCCCTCTCCAGGGCATTTTATCATCTGTGCACCCTGGTCAGAACTCGGCTGGGTACAAGTTGGGGATTCTCTGCAGGTCTCTGGAGTTCTTTCTCTGTGCAGCTCTGTCTTGTACTCTGCTCTGTGAGCTCTAGCTACCGTGGCCTACTTGAACTTCCAGCTTCATCTCTTCAATTTAGAGGGACTGTTGGGATGCGCCTACGTTTCCCCTCTCTGCCTATTGTAGAGCTCACTTTATTGTTTCCTATCTCTCAGGGATCACTGTCCTTCATTGCCTAATGCCCAGTGTGTTGAAACCATTGTTTTATTTATTCCGTCTATTTTTTTAGTTGTTTTAGGTGGGAAGATAAGTCTGGTCCCACTTAGTCCATCTTGGCCTTAGTCAGAAGCACGAGGATTATGTCTGAAAGGAATAAATTTGTATTTTAAAAAAATATATCTTGTAAGTTAGACTTTATCATTCCATTACATACTTCTTTCCTGCAGTTATTGACAATTGGTAAAATTTTACTGCTGTTTTTATCTAATCCATTTCTGATTCCCCAAATAATTTAGCTGATGAAATAAAAATAGATTCCCCCAACTAAAATAAAAAATGAAAAGAAGAAAAAATTCAAGTTTCTAAAGTACATGTTGTAGAGTAAAAAAAAAAGTAAGTAAGACCTCTTTGGTTTGTGTTACTGAAATGCACTGCTGTGGGGTGGTGAGTAGAAACCCAAGGTAATTTAGGGTGAGCTGTGTTAAAGGAAGAACAACTGACACACCTATTTCATAAGTGTTATATTCCCAGTTTGGCAAGTAAGTATTTTCTAAAGATATTTATAGTTTATTTTTTGTGTTCCAGATAATCAAGGAAAAGAAAGATGAACTTCATCTATGGATTGCAGTCTGCTACTAGAAACTGTGCTTTCTTCCGATTTAATTTACTGACCAACTGGAGAAAATGTAACACACTAGCTAAAACCTCGCCAGACTGTCATCAAGTACAGATTAACCGTACAGTAAATAAGTATCAGGGCCTGCGAATAAATCAGTGTGATAGACTGACTTTTCTGCCGGGAAACTTTCATTTCTATAGAACTTTTAATAACAAAAGAACAGGATGCCTCTCATGTGCCAAAAGTAAGGAAATTTGGATGATTACCCAGAAATGTACTGCACAGAATGTCTCTTTTTCAAGACAGCAACTGATAGAAGAAGTTGCGGTAGTTCCTGCTCTTTCAGCACTGCGCCCTCTAAGCTCTTCTCTCGTGAGAGACATCAGGAGTTTCCACACTTCTCCACGGTTTCAGGCTGCTCCCGTTCCTCTCTTGTTGGTAGTTCTTAAACCAGTGCAGAAACTACTCGCAATCATTGTAGGCAGGTAAGATGCTTTTTAAAAAAGTAAACTTTTTATTAAAGAGTATTTATAAAACTATACTTTTAAAGAAAATTTGTTAGATTTCCCTCATATTTAGCTCAAAATTAAGTTTTTAAATAGTTGGTTCTACCTAGTCTTGTTATATATGATTTAATAATCTTAAAGTAATTTACTACATATTAACTTATAGTATAGAAATAGGATCTTTAAAAAATTGTTCTTATCTTGTAAAGATATTTTCTTTTTTGTGTGTTTGAGGAGGATTAGCACTGAGCTAACATCTGTTGCCAATCCTCCTCTTTTTGCTAAGGAAGACTGGCCCTGGGCTAACATTCGTGCCCATCTTCCTCCACTTTATATGGGACGCCGCAAGAACATGACTTGATAGGCAGTGTGTTGGTGCGCGCCTGGCATCTGAACCCCAGGGCCACGGCAACGGAGCACACGCACTTAACTGCTACATCACGGGGCTGGCCCCCTAGGTACTTTTTAAAAGATTGACTTTATGATTACAAGAAGAATCAGAAATGTTGGTTATAACTTATGGATGAGAACAGTGCTTACAAACGTTCCTTTTTAGTTTATGGAATTTGAGGCAATGGATCATGAAACTGAACAACTTTGCTTATTTAAGAATGGGATCACTCCTAGCCAAGTTAACTATTAAACTGTTAATATTTATTTATTTATTTTTCTGTTCTTTTCCAACAAATCTTTATATTTGCTCTTGGTAGTTTTTTATAATAATTAATATTTTTACAACTAAATAGTACTTTATATTTAATTTAATCCCCCCATAATGAATCCTGTTTTCTCTTATTTGCTCTGTGAAGATTGAAGGAAGGTAAAGTTAAGCATTGTCTCCTTATAAAGCTGTATGTTTGATAATGATGAAATCCTTTCTGGCACCTTCTCACTTCCATATTAACCAACCTAATTTTCTTTTTATCAAAAGTTGAGAACTTGTACTCTGTAATTTATTGTGTTCTTTACCATTTGGCATTGGCACCCAAAAAATAGACAGCTACATTAGCTTTCAATTTAAGTAATGACTGTCAGAGAAAATCAGTGCTGGACAATATTTAAAGCAGTAAAAGCAGATTTTATTCAGGACGATTGTAGTCCGGGGAAAGAGAGCTCAGTGTAGAAACAGTCATTTCTGAATACAGCACGGGCAAGTGGGAATTTATAGCCAAGGAGCAGGGTAGGGGTTGGTGGATGGAAAATTACTAAGAGGAAACATCAGGGGTAAGGGGCGGA